AATCCCGAAATTTTGCCATTTTTAATCGAGCTTTTCAAGAGACATTTATTCAGGAAATGTCTCAAATATGCACTTTTAAGGTACAATAACTTAGTAAAATGTGTTTTTTTTATTGAAAACACGTGGAGTCATCTCAGATAAAAACCCGTGGAAGTGCATATTTGAGGTATTTACCGAACAAAAATTCATTATTTTGCCCTAAACTGCAATGATTTTTAATTTATTTTCATTTTTGGTTGAAATTTCTCTAAAAGCTACAATTATTTTTAACGGTCACAATTTCAAATGTGAGTGGTAAGAGATACAAAGAATGTGCTCAAACTATTTTCAGTATTTGTCATTTGAATCGATGAATTGTTAAGAAATGTGAATTACTTATTTCTATTTTGATTGTTTTTTTGTCACTTATTTTCTGTTAATATTATTTTTATACACCGAAATGGCTTAAATCAGATGAAGTCGCATAGTCTTGCTTTGAACTAAACTTGAGCATTGCATTGCGTGAGCAGTGGCGTAGCCAGGGGGGGTCAAGCGGGCTCAAGCCCCCCCCCGAAATGAAATGAAATTCAAAAATCGTCCGAGCGAAGCGAGGACGTCTAGTAACAAATGTATTGGGCGTTAAAATTTACTGTTTAGCGTTAAAAACTGGTTCGAATGAAATATCAAATGCGATAAAATAATGCTCAGTAAGTTTGAATGTAAACACATTTGAAAAAAAATTTCGGCAAAACAAAATCACTCGTACATTTGCGCCATACATTTATACTGGAGCTAATTGATTAGTTTGCAGACTCGGCATTTTCGAAGTAACAACAATGATTTTTTGTAAATATTATGTTTACAATAAATGTAACCCAAACATCATTGCTATTTCTTCGAAAAAGTCGATTCGGCAAGTCAATCAATTAGCTCCAGTATAAATGTATGGCGCAAATGTACGAGTGATTATTTTGCCAAAATTCGTATTCAGCGATGCACATTCGGACTGAGAACCGATTGCACATTAATTGTCGCTGCTTAATCAAATCAGTTCGACACGCCAAAGAGTAAAGAGCCAAAATGTCTGACAGACGAAAAGGAGGAGTAAGTACATTTGATATCGATATCATCGTTTTGAAATGTTTGAATTGTGGATTCTAATTGTTTTTTTAAAGTCGCAGACTTTTCTCGATCGATTTTTAACGAAAAAGCCAAAGTCAAATGAAACAAACATCACTGCATCAAATGCACAAAATCAAATAGAGCAAGTGAATGCGAGTACTGCAAGCGTTCAAAGTCAGTCTGAGCCAAAGTCAATTGTGAATATTAGTAAAGAACGTAAGTTTTTTGTTTGCTCTTTTTCAACGCGAATATTAAAATTCAACGTGTTACTGTGATTTAACTGTTATGAAATATTGTTTTCCAGTTCACACCGAGCCGTATGACATTGCAAATTCTATTGGCCGAAAATTGACTGATGAAGAAAAGTATAATGCGTTCAAAAACCTATGGGTTCCAGACGCAAAATTTAGTTTTCCTGCCAGCACAGATACAAATCGAAAATTCCAATCAAAATGGCTTTCGGAATTCCCTTGGCTCGCATACTCAAAGTCTTGTGATGGAGCATTTTGCAAATACTGTGCTCTTTTTTTTGTGCAAGATGGTGTTGGCAAAGGAAGTAATGTGGACGCAAAATCACTTGTGAAAACCAAATTTAATCGTTGGAAAAATGCAAAAAAATCGTTCAGAAGCCACGAAAATTTGAAATATCATCAAATCTCGTTAGTTGACGGCGATAATTTTATTGGTGTTCCTGATAATGCGATTGTTGACATCAGTTTGCAACTCAATACATTGAAAAAATCCCAAGTTGAATTGAACCACAAAATATTGTCTTCAATAATTCAAACGATCATTTTGGTTGGAAGGCAAGAAATCGCTTTGAGAGGTCATCGTGATGCCGGAGCAATAACGACCACAACACCACTTGAAAACGATGGAAATTTTCGTGCTTTGCTACGATACCGTATTTCATCAGGTGACGATGTTCTAAAGGACCATCTGGAAAAGTCTCAACGAATGCAATACACAAGTCCGCAAATTCAGAATGAAATAATTGAAATCTGTGGCACATTGATTACAGAAAAAATTGTATCAAAGATAAATAATGCGAAAGGTTTTACTATTTTAGCAGATGAAACTACAGATGTAGCAGGAATAGAACAGTTTAGTTTATGTGCACGGTATGTAGACGATTCTGACAGTAGCAACATAGTTTTAAGAGAAGATTTTTTACGATTTGTGCCAGTGCACGATACAACTGGAAATGGTTTAGCGAATACTTTAATCACAAATTGCGAAGATATACACATTATTATGATGTATTTGTTAGCACAGGGATACGACGGTGCAGCAGCCATGCGTGGTGAATGGAATGGTTGTTCCGCGATAGTTCGAGAAACGTTTCCACAAGCAATTTATCTTCATTGCTCTAATCACTCATTGAATTTAGCAATTGGAGATTCTTTCAAAATTGCAAACATTTCGAACTGTCTCGGGACGATCAAGGAATTGATAAATTTTTTCCGCCTTTCCGCTAAGCGACAAACAAATTTAATGGAGGCAATTGATGAAATTCAATGTGAAACTACAAAAACTCGATTAAAAAAGTATTGTGAAACCCGATGGGTCGAACGACTCGACTCCATTATTACATTCAAAGATTTATTTTTTCCAATTTTTTTGGCATTAGAAAATATTGAAATGACTGGTAATTCAGTTTCATCTAAAAATGCATTCACTTTGCAACAATCCATGAAATGTGGAAAATTTATCGTTTCAACGGTGGTTATTAATGACATTTTCGCATTGATTCATCCATTGTCTGTTTTTTTACAATCAAAGAATGAAGATCTTGCATCTGCCATGGAAACGGCGGACATTTTATGCAATGCATTGAAAGATGTGCGTGAAAATGCAGAGGTTAAATTTCACAATTTGTTTGTCGACGCTGAAAATATGGCCAGGGAAATTGGAGCAGAAATTACAATACCAAGAGTTGTAAGCCAGCAATGCAATCGAGACAATTATATGTGCTCTTCTGCTGAAGTATATTACAGATTATCTATTTTCATACCGTTTCTTGACCATGTCATTTCCAATTTAGAACAACGGTTTCTAAATCATAGAGCCATTTTGACAAAAATACAAAACATTCTAC